TTGGAATCAGCTTAAACCTCTTTTCTGTTATTCTGAGACCTAAAATTCCTAGTCCAAGTAGTTGGTAATAGAAATAAATAGATAGAAACACAAAAAAAATTTATCCAATTAAAAATTGGCGTACCAAAGCTAACACAAATATTAAAGGCTATACTTATCCCTTAGGCATTTATCTTAAGGCAACAGTGCATCTTTGACTGCACAGACCCTGGATGTGGACAAAACTGAGACTGGAGATGCCAATAAGTGTCGCATGAAAATGGATGGTATGAGGAACTTGTACCCCTGTGTAAGATGCCAAAAATCTGGAAGTCTATTAGTAAAGTTCTACATCTCTAAGAGAAGCACCATATACTCTGTGCTTTACAGAAATGAATATAAGTCTAGATCATGCATCAACTGAGCCACCAAGCAAACCAGAATTTTGGATTCCAGTTTTCGTGCATCCATGACCTTTAAGCATAAAGATCAATGTATATGCCTTGAGTCTACAAATTAATAGTTGGATAATTTTGTCAACACACTGCAACCACTCCAGCTGGCAAGGAATCAAAAGAACAACCTCACCTAAGAATGATCTAATGTGTCATCATCCAACCCTTCATCATGTTTTCCCTGGTCTCCTAGAACCCATTAAGAACTTGGGCGTAGCCAGGGCCCTATCAACTACTTCTTATTCCATTATAAACTTCTTATTGAGGTTAGGAATAAATTGGGACGCCTTCCTACTAGTGATTAGCTTGCCTGCCTACACAAACCACAAATCTGAGAGGCAAGAGTTCAGGAACCCAGTCTTCTATACTAACAAAACATAAGCCCTAAAAAGACCAAAGGCTCCAAAAGCACATCCAAACACAATAAAAACAGAGAAAACAGATGTCTGCCATGTCTGCAGATTGCTTGTCAATCAGTGTAAGTCAATCAGTCAAATGTACTGAGAACAGAAGCAATAATAAATCAGGTATAATCAAGTGGATTGTTTTAACTAATTATTATTTAAACAAAGGGCAAGGAAAGCATTTGATTTGGTCTATTTGGGAATCCAGTTAGATCAAGGCTGAAACCAAGTGATGGCCTTGATTTCATGTTAAAATGTACATAGCAAATAGCCTTGACCATACTTTGTCTTTTCTGCCTGGTGCCACATTTAGCTAAAGACAGACATGGAATCTCATCCAAGCACATCCAAATCATTGAAACTCATGTGCCTTCAGCCTGCATGGAGGAAGTTCATATTCCCAAGTAATAAGAATACCCACCAGTAATCAAAGTGACTGACAAGTGTTAACATTAGAGTTGTTATCACTAGAATTGGGAAATGGGCTGGGATCCAACATTTTGAGTTCGGCACCGACTTTCAGTATACTCAGCATCTTTTGTATTCAGTAGGCTTGTCCGTGCACCCCCAAATTTTTTTATTTAATGTTCTTGCTGTAACTACACAATGTTTCATTTGTGGGTTACTCCATACATACCAATCTTACCAGTGAGATTCATTCACCTTCTTCTGTAAACACGATTTCCTCATGTGCTCTGCAGAATATATATATATATATTCCATAATATATCTATTTCATGTGTGTGTGTATGTGTGTGTGTATTCCATAAAAGGTGTTTGTGGTTAAACAAGATTGGGAAATCCTGAGACTAAATTAAATGGGTTTGCTTTCTGCAGGACTTGTCAAAAAATTTAATGTACCAATAAGCACTATGAGTCTCTAAGAATGGCATATAATTTGCAGCATTTCACAATCCTATTTGAACATAGAACCCTTTTATGAAGAACTTCTGGGGACAGGGAGGTAGAGACAGTTCTTAGAATACACTTTGGGAAATATTGCTCTCAAAGTCTGCCCTCAATGACTTTCAAGTATGTAAGGGATAAGAGCCACCAGGGTAGAATATCCCCTCCTTTGGAAGCCCCCAGATCAGATAGACCTAAGGATAGTGTCTGGGGCATTGAAAGCAGAGGGCTTCTCAGAATATCTACCTGGGCATGTGAAAATCTCTTTATGTCAGTTCATTCAATCAGCAAACATTTATAGAGCATCCACAATGTTTCAGGAGCTGAGAATTTTTAAGAGGGTAAGATTGCTTTAATTTTGCATAGTGGAGACAGGGTTTTGGAAGATAACATAATATTTAAACCAGGCCTGAAAAGACAATTCTCAGTGGTAGAGTAGGCAGAGGGAGACATTTTAAAGAAAAGTAACAGTGTCTACAGAGGCACTGATGATTGATAAGGCATTGTTCTGCTCCCCTGAGCACCGCTCCCTGACATTTTTGTACATATGAGGTCTGACAATTAAATTTGTGAACTTGTTTCAACACTACTGCTAAACTTTTTTGATATCAGAGGGATTATTCATTATGAATTTGTACCAACTGTATGAACAGTTAACCAAGTTTACTATTTGGAAGTGCTGAAAAGGCTGCATGAGAAAGTTAGATGACCTGAACTTTTCACCAACAATCCATAGCTCTTGCATCACAACAATTCAACAGCTACCATGGCACTGTCTGTGAGGGAGTTGTTAGCCAGTAAACAAATAACTGTATTGGAATACCCTCCCTACTCACTTGATCTGGCCCACAATGACTTCTTTCTTTACCCAAAGATAAAGGAAATGTTAAAAGGAAGACATTTTGATGACATTCAGGGCATCAAAGGTAATATGATGACAGCTCTGATGGCCATTCCAGAAAGAGTTCCAAAATTGCTTTTAAGGGTAGACTAGGCTCTGGCCTTGGTGCATAGCTTCCTGAGGGGAGTACTTTGAAGGTGATCACAGTGATATTCAGCAATGAGGTGTGTAGCATTTTTTCTAGGATGCGTTCGTGAACTTACGTAACTGTCTGACTATATTATACACTGCCATTTCGTGATGTGTTCCCCCAAATAAATGGGAGCCGATGCTTGAAGGAGTTGGAGAGGGCTTATCACTTTATGTAGTCTGCTGTAGGATAAAAAATTACCCATCACTGGATTGGAGTTTTCTTACTTAGGAGGTGGAGTTGTCCTTTTATTAATTACAATATTAAGAGAAATGACAGAATGCCAAGGTATGGTATATCGCCACAAAATGTTGGAAATTCAATAAAAGAATGATGGAGGTAAAGCAGAGGGAAGAGAGCTAACATTTAGTAATATGTATGTAAATTTTCTGGCAATTTACATATTTTATCTCGTTTAGTGATAAATTGTATACATACATATTTATGTCATGCATTTTAATTTAAGAAAGCTTTCATGCCCATTATGTCATTTGATTCTGATGAGAATCCTGTGAGCAGGAGCAGGGCAGGTGTGATCAGCACCTTTGTACAGAGGAGAAGTGTGAGGCTCAAAATAGTTAAGTGATTATCCTAAGGTCACACAGTAAGGGCCAATATGAAGATTAGAAACCAGGTCTTCTGAATCCTAGTCTTATGTCCTTAATTTTTACTTGTCCTGTATTACTTCAATAGGATGAATGTATAGGGAAGAAGACTTATCCTCAATATAAGTAAAATATTTCTAAAACAGCTAGTGAACAGTGGAATATGCTGTCTTATAAAATGGTTGTAGAGGATATCTCTGCCTTAGGTGGGATATTAAATGTCATGGCTTCTAAAGTGACTCTCAACTCTAAGATCAAATGATCCTAAAATTCTTAGGTCATATTTCTCTGAGATAAGGTTTTCAGTGATTAAGCCTGTTACTGGGCAGCTCTTATTTATTATAGACTTGGTCCTCAGAAAAAAGAAATATTCTTAGAGACATGCTTAGAGTTGGAACTTTTCCCAACACCACAGGTAAACCCATTTCTTTGGTACAACAAACACAAACCACGTACAACCAATGTCTCCAGGTATCACTCTGATCACAAAATGGTGAGAAACAGGTAGAAGCCACAAATCTATCAAATTGCCAAGTATATGAGTTTGAGTTTTCCAAGAAACTTAAAATCTTGTAGCACACAATATATATCATAAAATATGGGAGGAGGCACAGTTCTGCATTTGAACTCTCATTGGTCATTCTGATGTATAGTGAATATGCTTTTATGGGATCTATATTGTTACTCAAACACTAAAGGTATTTTAAGAAGTGGAAAGTAGGGACAGATAATAATCCACACTTGTTTTCTCTGATGGGGGACCAGGAATCTTTTTAGAGCCAGCAGAACCAGTTACTGTTCCAATTCCCTTGGAACATTTTTTGTTGTATATTTACAGCTTCCTATGCTCAAGAGAATGGTGCATCTGTCTGATGGAGAAGCCTGGGTGCATTCTTTCCCAGATATTAATATAGGTGGCAATTCAGTAGTATAACCAATGACATGAAGAACCTGATTTGGAGGAGAACAGATGGCAGCATCTTTCTTGGACTAATTTTAGGATCCTGAAATAGTCCCTTTCTTATACAAACCATCAGAGGAAGCAAATTAAGATAGCTCTGTTGCATGAAAAAGGAAGAGAGAAAAAATGTGGCCTAGTGTGAGGCAAGAAAATGAACCAGAGGCTTCTGTGCTTCCCCCAGACCTGACTTCTTCATAGACTATGAGGGTCACTTCAACTCTTGAACAGGATGAATGCTGAATACCAACCAACATGAGGGTATCTAAAAAGAAACAAGTGGTGGAAATCTAATTTCCAGTCACATGCATTGAACAACCAATATTGCATCATGTAATAGCTAAATTCATATACATAAGAATATAGAGGACCTAGTCTCTAACCCATCTTTTCTTAACAGATAAGGAAGCTGAGGCTATAAGTAAATGATCATTTTACTTGGTAAGTCAGAAGCAGATTGAATTTCAGAGCCTCAGATTCCTTGTCCATTGATTTGTCTGTGGAAAAGAACTTTCTTCCAAATGAGACATAAAACATCAGGTAGGGATGATGAGAAGTGGAGAACAAGTCCCTCAATCAGAAATGATACCTGAGGTACAAGATGGTCATCCAAGGATTTAGAACAAATAAGAAAAAGAGTACTTTGAAAAAAAAATACCTACCTGTTTTCCATCCAGAGTATAGAGTTTTTTGACAACCCCAGTCTCTAGTTTGATGGCTTCAGTGATATCAGTAAGGACTTGCTCAAAAGAGTGGGCAGTCTTCTTGTTCAGAAGCACACGCACAGCCTTCCGAGGCTTCACCCCACTGCGGATAATGGTTACCAGCTTGGGGCGCACAAAGTCCTTGTTCTCCCTGGCCTGGGCACTGTTGCTGCTAGCCAACGACTGGGGGGCTTTCATATTGGCAGATGTCTTCACATTGACAGACCAGTTGGGATTGACATTCTTGGTGTACTCCACCTTTTTAAAGAAGTTGTCTGAGGAACAAACATAGCTTTCCCCTAAGGGAAGAAATGAGTGGTTATTAGTTTAATAGTTTAATAGTTTAATAGTTATTAGTTTAAATCAGATATATGGACTATTCTAACCAAACTAATACACACTGACCCTGGAGTAGGACTTTTGGAGAAATGGTGATAATAACCAACTTTAGGTTCAATTCTTAATTGGGCTCTCTAACAATTTGGCTCACTCAATTTCAAGAAAAAGTAATTAGAAAAACAATCTTCATTATAATGGCATACCTAGTTGGAAAATCCTATAAAGCTAAGGGTCCTAAAGACAATGAACACACCTAAGTATAATCTACAAGTAAGATTCTCAAGCTCGATTTGGTTTTATTGGAATTGAAATGTTTATATTAATTTATAGGATGCTTGTTAACATCTAAGGGCATCACTGGAGTGTTTCTAACATGTCTATCTTTCTATATTTCAGTCCTATTTCTGGACCCATAGCCTTATTCCATTGTTATATTATTAACCAAGGAAAACTTTCATAGTTAATACATTTTCATTCCAAGTTAAAGTGACCCACGTAACTCTGTATATTGGGCATACAGCACATACTTGCCAAGAATCCAGATTGTCCTTTGCACAGAGTATACAGCTAAGCAGTGTAATATTGAGATGGGAAATGTGTGTGTGTGTGTGGTGAATGTAAATATGTATGCACAATTGTTTCTTCTACTGCTTAGCCCCACACCTAAGTGGAGAAACTGTCTGAATAACAACCTGTAACACAGACACACACACACACACACACACACACACACACACACAAAACCACTCCATATGTCTTCAAGCCGTACTACTCTATTCTGCTTCCACCACCCACTCCCAATATTTCCATCTTTCCAAAAGCGTCATTGTTTATTCAAGGCCATCTTCACCAGTGCTCACTCTTGGCTGCTGCAAGTAATAAGGTGGAGATGTGAGAATAGATTGTAAAGTCTGATTTATGGATTAGATGGTCTAGTGTAATTTTCACATGTACCTTGGGCTAGAAGAAATGACTAATACAGCAGAAGAAATGCAGGGGCCAGAGGCTAAAGGAGGGGGTTAGACACCTGGGGCTAGAAGCTAGAGAACAGAGAAAGAGAGGCAGGCTCAGCCTGAGGGAGAGAGTATTAGAAAAGGTTGAATTTGTTGAGTAAAATACATTTGCGTCAAGGTATACAGAAATTCATCCAGAGGTCCAGCTGCAGAAAAACTGTGTGATTTACTCAGGCTTATCCTATCATTAATGGCTATAAATAAGTAAATAAATAAATAAACCCTAGCCAATGCAAAGAATGCATAAAACACAATTATAGTCTGATGGCTCTTCTTTGGTCTCAGCAGGAGAAGCACACAGAGACATTCACAAACTCTGGGCTTGTAACTCACTCCCACTGCAAATATTGATCGCTTTGCTATAGCACCAAATCCTTTAAGTTACATTAATTAATAAATTTATCAGTTAGTGCCAAGAAGATTCAGTCAGAATCTCTGGGGCACCTTTGAGGACCTCTGTGTGTGTGTGTGTGTGTGTGTGTGTGTGTGTGTGTGTGTGTAGGGGGAAGGTGTTTTCCAACTTATGCAAAGTGGCTTCCAACACATCTCTGAGTCTCAGAAGCTGCTAGTGTTGTCTCTTGCTTTGGATGCAAGCACCAGCACCCTAGTGCACACATGCACGCACAGGATGGGGTGGTCAAAGATCTCAAACAAAAGAAACCCTAATTTGTCTGGCTCCCTTGTTAGCTAATCCAAACCAATCCAAGTGATTATAGTTTATGGTCTTTAAATTGTGATTTACAGGATGAAGAAGGTCTTTCAATCCCCCCATATATTTATACCCAATATCTCCCACACCTAGAAATAGCCCTATTGCCTTAGCACTTCACCAGATGCATGATCACCCTCTGAGAGGTCACTGTCTTTAAGTCAGATGTTTTCCATAACGTGTCATATACTTTAAAACTCTGTTAGACAAATGGTGGTGCAGAAATGTGTGAAACTATATATTTATGATTTCACTCATCTACAGTCTCTTTTGGAAAGTCAGCTGTGTAGCACAATTAGGGCTCTGGACATTTTTTGCTCCCATCTCTTAAACCTGTTAAGCCTCTGAACTATTAGTATGATTAACCACCCCAGATGCAAATGAACATGATGGCAGAGAGATATAGTATCATATGGCACCCAAGAACTTTCCAGAGGGCCCAGCCCTCAGCCAAATCTATGTTAAGCACCTTCCAAAAGTACATTTCAGTCTCCATTCTCTTTCCTTTTGGTCCCAATCTGGAGTAATGGGAAAAGATCAACTGATGTGATGTCAGTCCACATGAGGTCCTCAGTACTTCCTAGTTGTGTGCCATTGGACTAGGTACCTTGACTTCGGTTACTTGTCTGCAAAATGGAGATGATAATAACAATCCCTATCTCATAAATTTGTTGTGAGGCACATATCATATGATGAATACAAAGTGCTGAGCCTAGATCTTGGTCATAGTAATCACTTGATAAATTCTACACATTATTATTATTAAGGACTTAATTTGAAGAGAACAAGAAGGAAGGAGGGAAAGGAGAAAGAAAGGGTTGGGGGGAAGGAAATGAAAAGGGGAGGAGTAGAAGCTGAAGGAAAGAAAATAGAAAGAAACAAAGGCAGCCATCTCAGAATTGAGCTATAACCATCATATGAGAACTGGCCAGGTTCCATGCCTCAAAGATAAGCTTTCCTGCTGGTTGAGAGACCTCCAGTTGCTGCAAATGCCAAATGTAGGAGCTCTATGGCTAACCACCAGCAAAGCCATTTGCTGCCACTGCTGATGAACACTGAGGACAGGATTTCTTTTAAGAGTATATTTTTTTAAAAAAGAGTATTTTTAGAGCAGTTTTAGGTTCATAGCAAAATTAAGGGGAAGGCAGTGCTGTTCCCATCCCCCAATTCCCCAATAAAAACCTTTAAAAAATTAAGGGGAAGGTACAGAGATTTCCTACATAGCCTTTTTCCCCACATATGTAGAGCCTCCCCCATTATCAGCATTCCCCACCAGTGAGCAGAATATTTATGGTGGTTAAAAGCAGTGATTCAGGCAGTCAGACAGACCTAGATTCATATCCCAACCAGGCATTTACAAGCTGGATGACCTCAGGCAAATCACTCAATCTCTGAGTCTTAGCTTTATCATCTATAAATTGAAGGTATTGCACTAGTGACATCTGAGACCTGTTCAGTCCTAAGGATCTATAATAAGGAATTTTCTTCTCTTTTCCATCCCAAATAGGCTTTAGGTGAGAAAACTGTTATGGTAATTAAATGTTACAGAAATAGTTGCCCACCACCAAAGGACGCTCCACTTCTACTACTGGAAGGACATCAAATGTGCTACTTTTCTAGACTAACTCTTCTTTGTTCTAATTTTGCAAATGTCTGCAATATCTGCTGCCAGAGCCCAGTGCTTCCTGCACATCCTGCAGCCTGGCACTTGGAAACTGGGTGATGTGTGTTGCACCTTTACACAACTGGGTTCCCATCCTTCCACAGCTTTCAAGGGCTATTTCCCACCCATCAGGAGCTTAGAAGAAAAGCTGGCTTCAGAGAGCCGAGCAAGGCAACAATTTTCTGGAATTGAAAAAGTGCTTCAGGGGGTGGGGGTAAGGAAATGAAGTCATGGAAGCACAGCTGAAACGGTAGGAAGGGAACAAACTGTGGGCTCAACATGATCTAATGTCTACCTCCTTTTACTTTCAAAGGGGCTCCATTTTCAAAAACATTAAACATATTTAAATTTCCTCAGGGCAAAAGTATTCCTGCCTGGGTTCTTTTCCTTTTTTTCTGAGGCTTCCTCGCTCAAGAAGAAACATATTAAATGGTACTGTATTGTATTATTATACCTATTAATAATGTATCTCTCCCAGGTAAACTGAAATTCTCCTCTTTGGCAATGTGCTTGCTTTAGTAGCCAGGATAAATTAGTGACAAGATGGATTCATCTCACTGGAAAATGTTAGCGATGGCAAAGAAACTCTATCTTGCTAGTGTCACTATACAGTTCAAATTTTCTAACAAGACTGCCTCAATTGTAAATATTCTGTCCCATGGTCTGCATAATAATGCTCAAAATTAATACCCCTAAAATTGATCTGGGCACTCACATATAAGAAAGCAAGGAAAGATTTGGACAGGATATGAGGGGAAGAAGAAAGATTCAATGATGAAAGACTAAGCAAGGCAAAAGAAAAAGTCACTCATGGATTTCATTCATTGACCCACTAAAAATACAGGTAACAAGGGCCACATTCTATATAGCCCTGGTAAGACACCTGCTGTAACCAAGGAGCTGTGGGAAAGCTGACATAAATAACCCAACATTAATCTAAAATTCTCCCCTTGTTACTTTTAGTATCTAGCAGCAGTCAGTAGACTAGAGACATTAGACAAAGGAGTCCCACAAGACCAGTGATTATTAAATGTTTGCTTTTTATTTCATTTCAGTTTAGGCTATATATTTAAGGAGGCCATTTAGAAACATAATATGTTTTATGGTCCATTTATTCCTTTAAGACCTACCAAGAAAAAAACAAAAACGAGGATTTCTGCATTCCAAGGAACCTTCACCATTGTAGTTAGCTGAAGGAGACCATCAAGATCACCTAATCAAGTACTTCCCAAGTTTAAGTGCTCATAAGAATCAGCTGGGGAGATTTGTAAGAACATAGATTCTGGAACCCTAGCTCTACAGGTTCTAACTCAATAGATCTGAGATGTAGCCCAGGAATTTATATTTTTCTAAAGCGCTACAAAATTCTTAAAGGCAGCCAGGTTTTGGAACCACTGGCCATTCCAACCCCTCAGTAGCATCACCATTATTATTTTATTATTATTATTATTATTATTATTATTACATCACTAACAATAATAGTACATTGTAGCTGTAGGTTTACCTCATCAATACGTTTCTATATCTATTATCTAATTTTATCCTCACAACCACCTTAATAAGAAGGCAGCTGTTACTAGTCTTATTTTACAGGTAAGAATATTGCAGTAGATACACAAAATGTGCTCTATATATACAATGGAACATTATTCGTCTATTAAAAAATAAAGTGTTGATAAATGGTACAATGTGGATAAGCCTTGGAACCATATTTTTATAAGTGAAAGAAGCCAGTCACAAAAGAGCATATAAAGTTGATTCAATTTATATAAAATGTCCAGAAAAGGAAAATCTGTAGAGACATAAAGTAGATTAATTATTGCTTAGGACTGGATAGAACAGGGGAAATGGGCAGTGGCCACTAATTGGTACAGGGTTTCTTTATAGGGTGATGAAAATGGTGTAAACTAGACTATGGCAATGGTTGCACCACTTAGCAAATTTTCTAAAATCATCGAATTGTACACTTAAATGGGTGAATTTCATCATATGCAATTTATAATTTAGTAAAGTTGTCTTTTAAAAAGAGAACATTGGATCAAATATATGGTGATGGAAGGAGAATTGATTCTGGGTGGTAAACACACAACGCAGTACAGAAATGTACACCTGAAACCTATTAATTTTACTAACCAATGTCACCCTAATAAATTTAATAAATAAAAAAGAATATCATAGATTTATCAGGGTGATCACTTCATAAATTATATAAATCTCTAATCATTATGTTGGACACCTGAAACTAATTTGTATGTCATCTGTAATTGAAAATTTTTAAAAATTAATAAATAAATAAAAGAGAAAATGTTAGTCACAGTGATGTTAAGTCTAAACCTATGGTCATTTAGCTAACCAGCTATAAACTAGGATGACTCAAACAATAATTGCTACCCTTTATTGAGTGCTACTGTGTGCTCAGCATAATACTAAACACTTAATATCCATTGTCTTATTTAATTCTCAAAGCAGCTATTCCCACTTTACAGATGAAAAGGTGAGGTTCAGGCAGTCAAAATGGTTTCACCAAGGACACATAAACTAGCAGGTGGCAGATATTCTGTTTGAACCCAATCAGATTCTGAAGACTTCCCCCATTATAATCTTCTGCCTCTAAGACTTGAACTCAATGCCCCTAATTCTTCACCCAGGGATCTTTCCAAACTTTTTTGATTTGAAGTCTCATGGGAAGCAAGGTATATGAATTTTGTAACCTTTCATTCAACTTCTTCCAAAAGTGAACAAAGTGAGGGAATCTTGTCCTCCATTCCTAGGTGAGTAGTTCCAAAGGACAAACATAGGAGAGAAAAATACCCCTTTCTTTATCCTCCTCATCCCAATGTCCTTTCCCACCTCGCTCTGTGGTAGTGGAAAAACTGGTCACATTTCTCAACACTGTCCTAGAGATATCCAGAATATCTCTGACGGAATGGGCAGTATTTAGGAGTTCAGGGAGGCATTGAGAGCCAATGCAGCTTGTGGTTGTAGATGACATATGGATAAATGCAACTGAGCCATAATCACACTCTACATAGTGAGGGAATTCATAGGAATTATTACCACAGCATCCTGGAACAGTAGATGAAAGGAGTACAATTCAGCAGGACTCAAAAGGATCAAGAGGCAAGGAAGCTACAGTCTTCAAAATTACATTTATTGCCTATATTGAACTAAGATTATCATCACACACACACACACACACACACACACACACACATCCAGGGAGGTGGAAATCAACATGAAGAGATTGTCTTTGAGCAAGACATGTTAAAAAATACATTGGGGGGGGGATTTATGCATGACAACGTTCTTATATCAGACACAAGAACAGTATAATCCTTGCTCTGAATACAATGTCATTTGGTTCAGTATTCTGCCGTAGTGTCTATCATGGCCTTTAGAAGATTACAGCTAGTGGAAATGAGGACATACTGGGAAATGAGGATATACTAGATTCAGGTGCTTTGTTTGTGAAAATTATTACAGAGAAACCCCTCAAATTTGACTGAGATATGTATTGGGTTGTCAGAAAAATCATGACGCATTTTTGCAATGAAAAACATAGAAAAAATACGTCATGACTTTTACGACAACCCAATATTTTACAGTGACAAAAGACACACCCTATTGATTACTCTGTTGGACAGCTCCCTCAGCCTAGCTTCAAACCCTTCAAGTTTACCCTGATTCTCCTTTATTTTAAGATATACACTAGGATGGCCAATCCTTCAATGTTCAGGAAAAGCCTAGGATTAACCACTGCCTGGCCATTCAGCACATGATCAAATAATCTAAGCCTCCTCAGCATCATTTTTCAAGGTCAGCTATATAGAAAAACCTCAGACTTGAACCCTGAGACCCAGATCCAATAGCCACATGGACAGTGTCTCTTATAAGTAGCTGGCCCCAAATCACTTGCCCTGACTTGGAAAACAGCAGTTACTTGCGACAACGTGGTGTTGTACAAGGGAAGCCCTCATGCTCCTTTGTCTAGGAACACAAGAAACCTAGAAGCAGTGAAGCGGAGGCGGGGCACTCCCACACCAATTCATCGAATATGCTGTTTCTCCTTCCTTGTCGGCTGTTTCATAATTTGGTTTCCCTAGAGACCTGCCTGCTCTAAACTCACCTTTGTTCAGGGAATGGAAGGAGTGAGAAGGGAGGGCTGGAGAGTGGGGGAGAGTTTGTAGGGGTGGGATCATTTTCATTATCACCACTCCTTAAGGCTGTCCTCTAAAGCATTGTGTCAGGTTAAACTCATCACATGTTACTCCAATTTAAAAGGGGTAGAGAAGCATCCTCAATATAATTGATTTGATAAAGTAAAATATATAAACACATCCCAAGATATATTTTCTAGATGAGCACAAAAAAAGACTTCATGGCTTAGCAAGTTTTGGCAAGATGGGGATTTTCCCTGTTTTGGGGTAAGTACACAGGTTGTCAATATTTTTGGCAATCTAGTCATAAAATTCAATTGCAAAACCAAAATGTAGAGAAGAGTTAAAGGGTTTAGGCACAGTGAGTCAGTTCCTATTCAAACAGGAATAGTTTATTAAAATACCAGGAATACCTACAGCTTTCTTTGGTATTTCTCTCAATGACCTCAGCCTTAGGGACACACCCTGGAGTGAGCTTTTTAGAAGCAACAGCTGAGCAGTGACCACTTACTTAAAAGTATAATCCTTTGTGAATATGTCCAGGAAGTCCTGCTTTTAGGGTGCATGTTTCCATGAGTTGCAATTCACAAATAGTCTCTTAGCAGCTCAAAGAATATTTGAGCATATTTTCTTTCTCTTAACCCAACTAAACCTCTTTGCTCATTTAACACCCCTCATGATTTTATGCTCTGCCTCAATAGTGCTACTTAGAGTTAATTATGAACAACAATTCAGATTTTGAGTAAATGACACTATTCAGATTTTCCTTTGTAAACCCTGGCGGATAAGCATAATGCATTATCACCACCATCTACACTCAACCCAGCAGAGACTGAAGGCCATGAGGGGTAATGGCTAATAGCCCTGTTTGTGCCTATAGAATAAAAAGCCTGAGCAACAGCCTGGTGTTTTGACAAATCTATTTCCCGATTTGTTTCATTGATTCCAAGAAATATAACCATAACCAATGATGCCACCTCCCACCAAGGGCCACTACCACTTTTTTAATTACCTTCCTCCAGTTCGTCCATGCTTCCAATTTTCCTGGATCCGTCAATGGTGTAAATGTAACGCACTCCCTGAGGCAGGTTGATGTTGTCAGACAGAGATCGAGTCAGGTCAGCCAGCAAGGCATCGAAGCTGCGAAAACGGTCAGAGGACACAGCGTACACAATCCCCTTGAAGTAGCGGTCCCCATTGCGGTAGAAACGTACCTTCTTGGCTTTCTTCTCGTTGCTCAGTGCCTGCAAGGTTCTGGTTCGGTAGAAGCTACAATGGGCGCTGTGAGTGGGGCTAGGTAGCCCATTCATCCGTGAGCCTCGCATGTTTCTGGATGTCTTATCTCTTTCGTCAAAATGTCCAAAATCAAGTTCCATATTTTGGTAAAACCTCAGAGACCTGAGTGTTGGGGAAAAGGATGGGGGTGAAAAAAGGCAAAGAAAAAGTGTGGGGAGGGAAAAAGAAAGGAATTCAAATATTAGCCAGACCCAGATCTGCAGTCTGCTGCTTGTGAAAAGAAGTGGTGGAAAAAAAAAAACCCTGACCCATCTGCTGCTTTCCCCTGACCTGCAGGAATATTGATCTTAATAGAGGAGAAGGAGGGGCTAAGGGGGTGTTGGTGGTTGTGGGGGTTGGGGCAAGAAATAGAGAGGGAGGCACTTTTGGCACTGTTCCAATAGAGGGGAGAGAGGGATTTTGAAACAGCTTAAAATCCTGGGACCTACTGACAGTGGCTCCTATCAAATTGTAACTTCGGGCTAAATACATTAAAACTGGCATCTGTTTCCTCACACATGTTCACATGACTAACAGTTGTAAATGAATCCAGAACCTGACAATTCCCCTTGAAGACAAGAGAAGGAACTAGCCAAGGTTAGCATCTCCGGCTTCGGAAGCAATCTTTGCATATCAATAAAATGAGTATGAAGTGGAGTATTTTAATTTTATTCCAAACCCTCTTTCTTACTCTAATGTGTGCATAACCTCCCCCTACCCCAGAATGAACTAGGATTCTCTTTTAAAGGGACAGCCTCCAGGGAATAGCCAGTGTCTTTGTGCTATTCATCAAACTCTTTCTCCACCAAAGTGGTGCAGCTATTCAAGATTCATAAGAAATAAGCTGAAAAACAAAAAGGATTAGAAAAATCAGTTAATTAACAAGTGTTAGCTCCGTTTCCCTCTGGTACCATTTGGTCACGAAATGCTTTTCTTTTCTCTTATTTTCTTCCCCCCCCCCCAAGCTTTATCCCCTCCCCACTGATGCAGCCCTATCTCTTAATGGAATAATTTAATTATTGAAAGATTCCCAAATGAGTCACTGAAAACAGCATATAGGACCTTTAGAAGCAAGCACACCTTTCATTGTTCTGGATTTCTGTCCTGACCAAAGGGGCATTTTGCCCTCACCCTAAACTTGCCTATTGCACAAGTGCACAAGCTTAGGAAAAAAGATGGTCATCTGTTCAGATTTGCTTTCCCCCTTCTGCTGAACCAAAAACAAACAAACAAAACAAGAAAGAAAGAAAATCAAAACATGTAATAAAATACAACAAAAATCTCAAACGCTAGCAAAGGTAGTGACAGCGTAGGAACTGGACTATTAACATGCATCTCACAGATGGGGATGAAAAGACTCACAAAGCAAGCAGGGCTCAGCTGCTACACACTGCCACATTGAGATATTTGCAAGGGACCAGGAGGACAGGAGATAAAAGAGGATTGGTGTTTAGTAGGTTTGCCAGGCTCAGTCCCCCTTTTCTTCCAATGTCACCATGACCTATGCTGAGCTCAGCATTGTCTCTGTCAGACAGCCTGCAGTGGTTAAGAGACCCCACCTCCTCAAGATAAGTAGCAAGCATTTCCCCAGGCATGCAGCAACCTTTGGCTTTGCTTTAGGGTCAGGGGGGGTATTATTCGAAATCAGCATTACAGCGAAAACAAAGCAATATCAAACTCACTTTTCCAAAGGAAAATCCCAGGTAGAGGCTTAGGGGGAAAATCCGAGAATAAGGCAGGAAAAAAAAAGGAGGAGAGAAAGAGAGACAGAGAGACAGTGCGCAATTTGCCTTGTGCTTCTCCCGTTTGACATTTGTTACATTCTCACTGAAAATCACTCAAAAGCCCCACTCACCGGTTTTCTGCTGGTTGGGTGGAGATGCTGAGAGAAAGAAAACCAATCTCTCTATGCCTTTGTTGTCTGAGCTCCAAGCAAGAAATTCCTGCCAGGGTGGATAGATGCCTTCTAGGTCCTAGTGCCTTGCCCAGCGACTCCCTTATATTCAGACTTAGTGAATTCCCCCAATCTCCTATGATTAATTACATGCTTTTTTTCTCAATTCACAGGCTGCACTAACACCTAGAAAGGATTCATTTATAACAAACAGGAAATTACAGGGTAGCATAAAGATTGCACAGGCTAATTCAGAATGCTCTGAAGAGCAATGTGCTAGCCTTTTCTCTTAGGGAATAGGCAATTTCACTTGGCAAAACCTGGGCCTAATCTGCCTGGGGGCTAGACTCAGTCAAACCAGGCTTCCTAGAAATTGTAGCTCTTTTCCTTTCACCTTCTTGAGAGAAAACAACCAAATCCTCAAATTCTTTAAGGCATTTTAGTTCATGCATCCAACAACCGGTTATTTTTGAAGTGAAGACAGAGGAGTAGACTAAGAGGAAGTAGGAAACTGACAAGAAACAGGAAAAGAGTTCCAAAATTTCATGGAGGATAAAGTTGAAAATGGACCCCAAAGTCCTTTTAGCTTCATGTAATAATTTGGTTAATAGGATACGTGTTTACCTTTGAGAAGCTGAGAGTTCAAATCCAACCCAGAGACCTTTCTATGTGAAGTGAGTCTGATGGATGCAAGATAAATATTAAAGGCGCTCTCCTCAAATTGTGCATTTGTTTCTAATTGACTTCTTTATATCAAATACATTACAAGGGAAAAGGAAGCATCCAAATTTAATTAATTATTCTAGCCAAACTCTAAGAAAGAAAAAGAGAAAGGTGGGAGACTAAAGTGGGGTGTGCTACCATCTTCTCAACTGAAGCTACATACATTAATATGAAACAGTCTTTATCATGCTTCCATTTTTTACTTGGTCTCCAGCAATCTCAGAGCTAATAGTATGCTCAGTAATTATCTTATATCTGATTCCTGGTACAATTAACCCTGTTTTTACATGTAGCTGTTGCTGATTTTCAGTTAAACACTTTCTGTTCATGCGTTTTACCTTGAAGTAGGATAAAAATTATGATTTTCATTTTCTGGAAGGTGTTGACTCAGCAAAGCCTACTATCTATGTTAGCTAGGAGGTCAGCCTCAAGTGTGCAACCTGCACAGTCAAGTCCCTTTAACACCTTGTTGCTGCTCTCCTGGTTTCTAAATAGGTCCCTCAGTGATTGCATGCCTGTTTCCTGTTCTTTTCCATTTATTTCTGCATTACATTGTGGCCACCTCTGGAAAACCCAAGGATAGTCAGGCTAAGAGAAGATAAATATCAAAGAATGGGAGCAGGGAAATTTGGAAATTCCAATCAATGTTTGAAAATTCCTTGTCCAGCAAGGCCAGTGTCTCAAAATCCTTTTCTTGCATATCATAAGTATTCTGTAAATATACAGCAATTGATTTTTCATTAGAATTCAAAATCATTTTATTGCCAGTAAGGATATAAGAAAGGATGGGATTTTAAAGCTTAAACATGAAGTATTTGGAATATATTTTATTCTTTTTGTTTTTAATAATTGTTTTATTTTTCTTTTACAGTTGACATACAATAATATATTAGTTTGTTTTATTTTTTTCTTTAGATTCCACACACAAGTGAAATCATACGGCATTTGTCTTTCTCTGTCTAACTTACTCCACTCAGCACAATAACCTCTAGGTCCATCCATGTTGTTGCAAATTGCAAGATTTCATTCTTTTTTATGACCAAGTAATATTCCATTGTATATATGTACCACAATTTCTTTATCCATTCTTCCATTGATGGACACCCAGGTTGCCCCCTTATCTTGGCTATTGTAAATAACACTGAGATCAACATATGCATGCACATGTCCCTTTGAAGTAGTGTTTCTGGTTTCTTCAGATAAATACCCAGAGGTGGGATTACTAGGTCTTTCTGTGTCTCTTCTTATACAGCCTTTGTTTTAAAGTCTATTTTGTCTGGTATAAGTATTGCTACTCCAGCCCTTTTTTATTGTTTGCATTTTTATGAAATATCTTTTCCCCTCCCTTGACTTTCAGTCTCTGTGTATCTTTAAATCTGGAGTGAGTCTCTTGTAAGCAACATATCATATGTAAGGGTGTTGTTATCTTACCCATTTAGCTATCCTATGTTTTTTGGAGTTTTATGGAGTATTTAATCCATTTAAAGTTATTATCCATAGATATTTAGTCTTTGCCACTTTTAAAACTCATCTTTATGTTCTTTTTCTCCTCCACCCCCTTCTTCTTCTTAAAGAAGTCCCATTAACCTTGTAATACTTTCTCTTATTTGGGAAGCTATTTATCTCTTCTTCAAGTTTAAATGATAGCCTTGCTAGGTAGATTAATCTTGGTTGTAGGTCCTTGCTTTTCACTTTGAATATTTCACGCCAATTTCTTCTTGCCTGCAAAATTTTCTGTTGAGAAATCAGCTTACAGTCTTATGAGATCTCCTTTGTAAGTAACTAATTGCCTTTGACTTGATGCTTTTAGTATTCTCTGTTTGTCTTTAACCTTTTCCATTTTAATTATAATGTGTCTTGGTGTGGGTCTGTTTGGGTTCATCTTGTTTGGGATTGTCTGCACTTCCTGGACTTGTATGTCTACTTCCTTTACCAGGTTAGGAAAGTTTTCAATTCCTGGGAGAGACCAACCTGTGAAGCGAGGTCGGTTGGTGCTAGTGTCAGGTTTGGGGCTGCTCAGCAAGAGGTATGGGACACACTGAAGCCAGATGCTACTTGTTTGTATTTTGTGAACATTTGAGGTATTTTAGGAAAGTTCACAGCATGAACAAAGACAGGCCGTTTGTATGAAAAATCCACTGGAAGTGGCTTGGGTGTGCCTGCAAATTGGGTTGGGGGGGGTCTCTCAGGGAATAACTGGGAGGAGGGTGGTGGCAGGAAACAAACAGTGTTAGCTATATTGATGGAGACTCAGATATGACAGTCATCTGCATCTGTATTCTGGAAGGAGGGAGGGCTCAACAAACAAACAATGGTTTCTATCTGCACTTCTGTCTGGAAAAAAGCTGCCCCTCTAGCCCTTGCTCTGAAGCCAGACAATTCAGTACTTCCCCATATGTCCCTGGCAACTTTTGAGCTGCTGCCCCAGTGCTGGAGCTTAGAGAAAGTGAGTCCATCAGTAAGTAAGTCCATGCACCCACTCTTTAAAAGGAGCGCCTGGGACTGCAGCTGCCCTCTGTGTCACTCAGCACCAATCTCCACTGGTTATCACAGCCAGAAGTTATGGGGACATCTCTCCCTGATCCTGGAACACTGGGCTGGGGAACCTGGTGTGGGACTAGGACCCCTCGCTCTTGTGGGGGAACCTCCACAGCCAAAATACCCCTCTTGATTTTTAACAGTCACACGCTGGTGTGGGACCAGCCTGTTCCATGTCTCTGCCCCTCCTACCAGTCTCAAGATGGCTTCTTCTGCATGTACTTAGAGGTTGGACTTTGGTTCAGCTAGATATCAAGTAATTCTCAGTGACAGTTGTTTTGTAGTTTAGTTGTAATTTTGATGTGGTCATGAGAGGAGGCAAGCACAGCATCTACCTACTCCACCGTCTTGACTGGAAATCTAGAAATTCCATCTTTTGTTGCATATTTAAACTACAATTCTTCTTAAGAAGCCATGTGACATAGTGGAAAGAGTGTAGACTTTAACTGTATGACCCCAAACAAGTTGCTTAATCTTACTGAACTTTAGCTTACTCAGCTATACTATGTAGATAATTGTTGGGAGCTGGCTGGGATCAGCCAGGGACACTGAGGCTTTAGGTTGGCAAGCTTGGGTCTCCAGATAGATACAGGCCTGGGGTGAGCAGCCTTGGAGCAGTTTGTTGGGAACCTGTGGGACAGTGCTTCTGTCTTAAACTGCTTCCAGACAAGGCAAGTGCAAAGAGTAAAGACCCCAGCTTGCTGATAGAAAAAGCTTATGGACTAAGGGACTCAGTTGCTCATGGACTATGGACTTGCAGTTTCAACATACATCACCACTATGGGACTTTCCACCATGGACTTATTTCACATGCTTGTGACTTTCTACTGTGGACTTGTAGACAGTTTCTATTTGCCTCAGCTTAACCTTGCCTAGCTATATCATCGGTTTATATTGTCTATAACATAGCTTGTTGCTGAGGAGAAATTGTTTCTCCTCAGCCCATGAGTTTTAGCTTTAGGGAATTGCTCCCTAAAATGAGGAGATCGCTTCCCCTTAAGAATCTTGTATGCCCAATAAATGAGGTCTCAGTTTTGCCACCAGCAGACTGAATCCCTCCTGTCCCCGCACTTTGTCTCTCTTCTCTTTTACTCATCTCCCACCCAATCCTCTCAGGGACCCATTTGGTGAGCTCCTGGCTGATGAGCCAAGGGCGTTCGGTTGAACAAACTGGTCTCATTCAGGAAATGAGACCACTGATTGGGTAAAACTAATCATGATTCACCTCCTCAGGATGGGAAAGAGTTCAGCCCCACAAATAACCATGGCTACCCAGAGGAAAGTGAAAACTTTGAAGTCCTAATAACAAGGAAGAGGAAAGGATAAACAAGGTTTGCTACAGTACTTAACACTTCTGAACCTCATAGTGAGGTCCTCAGAGTGCATTTTCCCTCAAAGAACTGTTATAACTATTGAATGGGATAAATCTTGTTAAGTGCTCAATAAATGTCAGCTAGTTATATTGTGGTAGATGCTATTATTTGGCATTTAATTTGGTGTTTCATTAATAGATGGTCCTTTCCATATTTCCCTTCTGTCCTCCAGGGCTTGATATCAATGCTTTATTTCATGGCCATATGGCCACAGCATTTCTAGTCATCATATGCAGACAATATATCTAATCTTTAGTTTTCCTATCTGTAAAATAGAGATATTTATATTTGCCTCAAAAATTTGTTGTGAGGATTAAATGAGGTCATGCATATAAGAGTTCAATAAATTAGTTATTATTGTTGCCATTACTTACATCAATACCCTCTAGACA